GGGGGCTCCCCTCCCTGCCCACAACGCCTGGATGTTTTGTAGCCACCATCTCGTGCAATCTTGTGATTGTGCATGCAGTGCCGCGTCAAGCACTGCACGCGGTGCGATGGGGATACCTCGCTATGCCAAGCATGCGGGCCCGCCCCCGTCGACTACTACATGCTGTACCCCAACAAGAAGCGTACCACCTGCATCCGGGTGAGCATGCCGCTGCCCCCTCTCCAGCCGTGCATCCCCTCTGCAGCACATGCGTGCTTGCAACCTTGCCTCATATTAGGCAGCTCTGCTGGACACAACCTGGCCGTCAGTACTGGGCTCAAGGCAATGCTGCAAACAAACTGCGCCCCCAGTGCAGAGTAATCCCGCTTGCCTTGCCGCCTTCCTGCCGCAGTGCCAAGCCCACTCACAGTGCCAGGAATGCAAGGGCGCCTACGGCCCCTGCACGGTGTGCTCAAACGGCTATGAGGAGGCGGACGGCACCGGGTGGGCTGTAGTGGGCGGCACGTGCACGAAGTGCCGCACCGGCTGCCCCGAGTGCGGCGACGACCCGGCAGCATGTCTCTTTTGCGAACCTGTGGACGTCTGCTGGGATTACGCCGAGTTCGACCCCCGCACCGGCAAGTGCGTCAACTTTCCAAACTACAACTACTCCGGCGGCTGCTGATGCATTCTCGTGTGCGTTTTGTGTTGCTCGCCTGCTCCCGCCGAGGCCAGGCTGCACGCCACCAGGAGCAAGGTCGGCGATCCTATAGGGGCATCTCGCTGATTGCATCCCCCTCCCAGTCTTCCCGTATGTGGAGCAAGTACATGCTACATGCCCATGCAACAAACAACCGCCGAGACAGGGAGGCACATGTGCTGCTGCATTTGGTATGAATCAAATCGGTATAAGCAGATGCCCTTTTCAGCCGCATCTGCGCTGAAAAGGGCATATGTTTGGGGCATACGTCTTGGGGAGTGCGAGTGCGACATGCAGCTGCGGACGGTGAATGAGGGTCAGCCAGGGGCAACATGGGGCAACATCGCTTCCAGGCGATACACAGGTTGCTTGTGCTAGGGTTGTTGAGCAGAGGGAGCTTGGTGGTGATCTAGGACGGGGGGTCGTGTCTGAGCGCCTTGCGTTGAAGCGTCATCGACTGGCTTTGATGTGGGTGGCGGTTGAAGCCTGGCCAGGCCGACAAGGGTGGCTGGCTGTGCGTGCGGCTCTTGGGACCCCGCCCCTGTGGGGGGTACAGCAGGGCCCCAGCTGGCTCCCCACAAATTTGCCCATCAGCTGTTACCCCGGCTTGCCCTTCTCATTGAACGTGCACTTTATATTACACACAACATGGGCGGTGTGTATTCACAAGCATACACTCTGCCGCTATGCCGGGTTGGCGGGCCTGGGCAGAAGCAGGAGGCGGCGGGCCATGCGTAAACAATGCATGCGTGCAATGCCGCATGGCAAAGCATGTGAAAGCGGCAACAGGCACATCGCAATCCGCGCGTGTTTGGGCTGCGGTTCCTGAAGGACTGTAGCTAATTTGTCTCAGACAAGCAGGTGAAGTTGTTTGCGAGGGGTGAGATGCGGTGAATTGCATTGCAGGTCCGCGCTTCGCCGACTTTGCCGCCGCCTGCCACCGTCTGTGGCAAGCCGCCATCCGCCGTCTCTGGGAAGCCGCCATCAACCGCCCACACCACCAAAGTCTGTGCTGCAAGCTTGTTCTTGCTGAAACCAGACTGTAAGCCCACACAAGCAAGCAAGCATGACACCACCCTCCCTCCCCACCACCACAAGTGTGTATCCACCCACAGCATTTCCCCAGCTCGACATCACAGTTTGCGGGAGGAACAGCGGTGGCGGCGGATTGGGAGCGGAGCGTTGTGACGGAGCTAGGAAGCTTCTTACGAATCAAGTATCAGAATGATGCATGCATTTCACGTGTCTGCTGAGCCAAAACAGAAGGATCCAGCCGCCCGCTGAGGCAGCGGCATGTGCCCCCGGGCCGGCACACAGCGGGAGGCGCGGCAGGCGCCAGCATCCACCCAGGCGCGGCTTCCAGCCTCAGCCGCGAAGCCGCTGGACGGCGGCGCCCCGTCGGACCCCCTGCGCACGCCTCAGCACGCCTCCGTGCACTGCTCGGTGCGGCGGTTGCTGCAGTAGCCCCCCGGGGAGCCCTCCCCCAGGCATGCGCAGCGGCACCGCCTCGCCTCCCAGCTCCCAAACACGCAGTCGCTGCAGGCAGGGCGGGAGCGGCGGTGGCGAGCCGGTGCCGGTGTTCACATGTTGACATGGAGGGACATAAGGGCCGGCCGGGCACAGCAGCATCCGCATGCATGCAAGCGGCTGCCCGGGCGGCGGGCCCGGGTCGTCGGCGGCGGCAGGCCAGCCTTCCTGGCCGGCCGCCGCCTCCCGCCGCCGCCCGCCACCCGCCACCCGCTGTGGCCCCATGCGGCCACCGGGGTACCCTGCACCCACTTGCTCCCACTACCCCGCCCACACCTCCCCTTTGCACGTCCCTTGCGGATACACGATTCCTAAACACAGCAGACCCTCAGCCCAAACAGGCGATATGCGGAATCACCTGACGTAAGTGGCACAGGCTCGGCCCTTGATGTCTGTCGGCCGCTTGCAGCCCAGGCCCGCGGCGCGCAGGCGGCCCGCCGCCGCCGGCGCTGCCATCCAGCGCAGCAGCTGCTGGGTGGTGACGAACCAGACGTCGCGCGTGGCGGCGGCGGCGGCGATGAAGCGGCGCAGCTGCGCCACGCGGTCGGGCTGCGACTCCATGCCTGCAAGGGGGGGCCAGCATGCACACGTGTGTGTGCGAGATAGTGTGTGTGTCTCACCCTGCCGCTGCCCCCACTCATGCTGCCGCCGCCACTGCAGCTGGCCCCGCCCTCAAGCCCTCTCACCAGCGTGGAAGAAGAGGCCCAGCGGCGCCCGGTTCCCCGCCAGCCGCCGCGCCAGCTGCGGCAGGGGAGGGCGAGGCGGGAGCGCGGCGGCGGCGGTTCAACAAGCTGCGGCCATGCTGCGCTGCGCTACGCCTGCTGCGGTCCCTCCATCCAGTGAGAGCTCTCCCTCCCTGCCTCGGCACACATGAGCCATGTCCCTGCCCACCACCTGCCCGCACACCCCGCTGCCAGCAGTGCCGCACCACATTCCCCTGCCTGCCATCACCCCCGCCGCCTCCTGCCTGCTGCCCCTCCTCCCACCACCCCTGCCGCCGCCCACCTGGCCCCCTGCCTTCCTTTCCTGCCCGACCCTGCCTCGCGGTACCTCTCGTGTGTACAGCTTGAATGCGTCCCCGGGCGGGTCCATGGTGTCCAGCGGCTTCCCGGCAGCATCCGCCACCGTCCACAGCGGTACCTCCCACAGAGGGTACCGCTCCTTGGGGGAGCACTCGCCTGCGGGCAGGCGGCGTGGTGTGTGTGTATGTGGTGGGTGGGCGGGTGGGTAAGCCAGATGAGGGGCGTGGAGTGCCGCCCAGCGGGA